GCAGCTGCTCTTGATATGATAGTTAATGATGTTGCAGCTATTGCTTCTCTGATACTGTTGTTTGATTTTACGGATGCCGCTCCGTCCGTAGATGTTGCCTGCTGCCTTTCGTTATTGTTGCTCTTGATGTTGCCGTTGTGGATGTTGCTATTGTATTTAATTGCAGCTGAAGCTGCTTCTGACATATTTGTCGCTACTTTTGTTCTTGATGTTGTTCTTGACGTTGTTCTCGATGTTACTACTCTTATAGTTAATGTCTATGCTACTGCAGTTGTTGCTGTTACTGATAATGCTTCTACAGTTGTTGCTTATGTTTTTGCTGCTGCTTGAGTATCTGTTGTTGCTGATGCTGCTTTGAATATTGTTGCTATTCCTATACTGCTGCCTGCCGTATTCAATCAATTACGTAAGCGATTGATCCGATGTCAAATGTTTTGCTACTTTATATTGATTGATTTTTCCTTTTGCCGCTTGAGCGACAAAATGTTGCTGAATTCTATGGATCCGCCGCAATTGTGCTCAAATTGTGGCACAAATAAAATGCTTAGCAAGCAGCTCGAGTGTAGACAATTCATGAGTTGGCAACTTGAACTCTTGGAGAGTATTAATAGAAGAGCTATCAGAGTATTTAGTATGCATGACGGGCAGCAACTCGAAAAGGAAAGCAGCAAAGGCAAAGGAAAAATCCGTTAACACTTCTGCATACCCTATAAACGTGAAACTGTTGAGCAAGGGGGATTCCGAAATGCTATGTCAAAGTCAGAGAGAAGTTCTATAAGATATAATTCTATTTACTATTCAAATATTTATTTCAGCACGCCAAGGGATAGCATGAGTACTGATTTTCGTATACGTTTAGATCAATCAGAATGCGTAAATAGGGTATTACTGGAGTTCATTCAGACTTCTTTGTTCCGGTCAGGTCTGTCCAGTAAAACGTGAGACGCCCCTTGAGGCATATTGGCAATTGATATTGCAACATGGCAGCTCGTGCTACTTGCGACACAAGCGACCAGGCTGCGTCTTACAATTTGCATATATACTTTAATAGGTATACAGCCAAGGGGCGAGGCGGAGCAGTGCGCAGTATTTCATTGGCTGCATGGCGGAAATTGTTTTTTAAACGTTAACGGACATTGCTTCAAGTTGTCAGCAGCAGCCCGAAGCCGTCGACTAAAACTTAACAGAAACTTTCTACACTAATCTCTGGACAGCAATGACATGCTTTTGGGCAGAGAGCAAATATTTAATTAGCTATAACACAAGCAGCGCCTAAGGGAATGTCGGAAGGCCTCCCCGAATGCCTGTCAGCCTGCCTGGCAGACAGTTAGCCAGTCAGGCAGGCGGCTGCCACATCCGGTTCTTAATGCCCAGGCACATTTTGGTGGCAGTGAAGCGTGAAACCACGTCGAAAGAAATTCATTTTGTGGCTGGTGCCTGATTCAAGAGAATTCCCCAAATGAGTCGCCAACTATGCGCCAAATAATGCCCAGAGTTCACGCTTTAATGCCAGATACTCATCCATAAATAAGCGAGTTTAAGCATAATTAAAATGGATTTGCCAAGACGTGCCATAAATCACTGCACTGGGAAAGACAGGAACAAAGCGAGAAAGAGAAATGCCTACATTTGAGCTCTATTAATAAAACTGCTGAAATGACTGCAATAAAAAATCAGCCAAGGAAATAAAACTGATAAGTTGCCTTCCTATTCATTAAAAAGTGTAAATTTGTGGCGAGTCGAATTCGCTGAGATACTCTTTGAAACCGTATAGTTTGGCTTTACAACGCCACCGAGAAACTTTAATTGCTCAAATTTAATTGCTCGGCTCGTTAAATTAAGCACAAGGGTTTTCCTCTTAGTAGAGTACACTAAGAGAAAAATCCTGGTTTCAATAAATGAACAATATACACATATCCCAAAAAATTAGTATTTTCAATCTATATGTAGTTTAAAAATAAAGCCCCGCATTAAAAAGATAAAAACGGGAGAATGGCGACCGATTTGGATGATTCTCAAATGAATTACGTTTAAGATAAATTGGAAAAATAATTGATAAGTCGGGCAATGCCGAACAATTTCTTCTAATTTATACTTCACTACATAACCGAGAGCGTGTTTGCCAACATTGCACTTATGCTAATCCCCTATCTATATCACAGCTTCTCTGTATTGCTCTACAATCTTCCAGGCTAGAGTTAAACGACGCAATGCCCTTTCATCCGGAAACACTGGCTGGCGCTGGGGCAGCTGACAAAAGTGGGGTCATCATCGCAGGGTCATCATTTGCCACGACAATTGCCAAGCAACGGGTTTGCTATCCTGAATTGGCCAAGTAACCTGTCTTTTTGTTCAAATTTATTTACTTGCAGCTCTTTAATTGTTGCGCACAAAAGTATGCAATAAAAAATGAATTGTGGATTCAGGGCGCAGCACAGTTTTATGTATACAATTATGTCCTTCATAAGTCTATAGCAGTATTTCTCCGACATTTTCAATTCACACAAGAAAGTTGGCATGAAGTAGATTGTGTTGCCAGAAATTCGGGTAATTATTTAGCCTACAGCTGCGGTGGCTGCTACTGAAGTCGCTATTGTTAGCAGCTTTGACTTTGTAGCAACACTTTGGGGCCGTCAATTTGTGTGCTCTGCCGCTTGACTGACCTTTAACATCATTTCAGCTGGCAGCGGTCGAGTGGGTAATGTGACTCACTTTTGATTATGCGGCAACTTAAATTATGCTCTTCGGGCCTCACTTAATTAAAGCGGCGCAAACATTTTGTGGATCCTCAACAGGCGGCAGCAATTTGAGCGTCTAAGCGACTTTTAATTGAGTTTCATTTCATACTCGTAAAGTCGGCCAAGTTCTTTTTTAAGGGCGCACAATTTGGTTAATTAAAATGTTACAATTGGCGTTGGCATTTTTGTGGCACTTGCCAGTTGCCAAATGCCAGTTGCACGTGGTTATCTTTGTGCTGCGCCTTGCCACACATTTGGGGTGTGCGATGTCACTGCCAGGTGGCAAATGTCCTTGCCACTTTCAAGCAACTGCACTTGACGTGTTTGTTGCAAAGTGCCAAAAGTTATGCACATCATCAAGCGCACAAGGGCGTGCTCCCTGCGGGATGAGCCACAACTACGCTAGACGCGTCAGTGCTTGGCCGTGTGGCAGCTGCCACACACGACTCAATTTGCAATTTGTGGCACAGTCTGTTAAATCTTTATTTATTATAACTAATTTGCATAAAAAACTTTGCAATTGCCGAAGCACATTTCGAATGCCAAAAGCCACTTGGCCGCATAATGAATGTATATGCTGCCGCCCAGTTTCAGTATTATTATTGTTGCAGTTGTTGTTGTTTTGCTGTTTGTGGCATTTAAGTGCTTTGAACTTTGACTTTGCATGCTGATATAATGTGCCCCAATTCATTGCCATTCGGTTAGGTGCATGCGAGCACCACGCCCTGAGTTTAGTTTGACTGCTGTATTTAGCACTCGCATATTGCTCATACGCCACGTTTCCGATTAGTTGCCGGCTAAAAATTTGCTAGCTGGCCAGTAAAAAGTTTACTATGCTCACATTTTTACAAATATATTAAATATTTATGCACTTCATGTGGTTGCTGCTAGTGGAAATCTCATGTTTCACATTCAAATTGCCCTCTATATACGATACCCCAGCTCGACATGCCTCTGCCACAAAAAGGATGGGTAAGTGGCAGCAGAAAGCAGTTCTGCCCCTAAGAATTTCCTTATCAGTTTTAACAGTCGTGTCGTTTCAGCAATTTCCGGTTATCCGTAACCATTAAACTCAGGAACTATACGATATGTGTTCTGAAAATTAGCCATCTTCGCAGTCGTATGTTTAACATAAAAAAAAACAATCGATTTTGCTGAAGAACTATAAGAGCTGAAGTCCTCAAATTTGGTATGCAGATTCATGTGGTTCTTGAATTTGCTTTTCATACTTACCCTAAACATCAAGAGCCGTAAGCTCGTAAAAAATGCTTCAATAGTTTTATGCAGGGTATCTCACGTCTAGAGCTTTCCTCTATTGCATTTCCACTTGTTTTATGCGCTGAACCGCGCTGCTCATGCAATATTTATAGGCACTGGAATTTTATTGTGGCAATGCAATGCATTTTTATGACGTCTGCTCTGCAGCAATGGTTTATTCATAAAGACTCAGCCAACAACTCGTGGCCTGCAACATGCCAGCTAAGTTATTAAGTGAGCCCTCTGTAATACAGACGTTATTAAAGAGCCTTACTGCACCTAGACTCAATAAACGCATTATACGCTTACTTACCTTGGCTTTAACCCTAATTAACTGCGCCAGCAGAAGCACATTTTATAGCTGGCGTAAAATCTAATTCAAGGATTTGGCACAAATCCTGCTGGTCTGACAAGACTGCATCTTCGACTGTGCTGAACGCCTTGCTGGTGGAATACAAATAAAATTGACATTCGTTTTAATGGTTCTCAGCGCCAGAAAGCGAACAAAAAGCAAAGAATGCAATTAAAAAATAAAATCATTTTCATGTTGCTTTTGTCGTTCAGCAACTGTTGCTGTGCGCAACAAAATTGCTTTGATGTATGCACCATTCCCTTTTTTATTATTTTTAAATTTATGAAAACAAGAAAATTAAAATTTCATTGAAAAATGTCGTATAGCAGCAGCACAATAAGCTATAAAAATTAATGACCTCGCCCAGAAAAGCAAGCGAGAGAGAGAGCGAACGCAATAAATTGGCAAAATTTGTGTGTGAGCATTAAAAGAAACCAATTCAATATTTAAACCAACTCCTGTGATTTATTTATGGCACACATATAAATTATTCAGATTATTTATTTTAGGCTTGCAAATTTCTGATTCTCTTCAGCTCGTATTTTAAAAACTGCCGACCACATTTAAACGGGCAAATAAAATCAGCAGCCAGTTAATTGAATCAACTGGTTTTTTTGTATACACTCAAAGAAATATCATTTATTAGTTTACGATAGAATAGTTGTTTAAGGTAGCGTTCGCATAGGTTTAGTTCATATGGCTGAAAACATTTACAACAACATCCAACAATTAAAACAGTGTGTGTGGCTATCATTATGGGTTTATAGTAGTTAAAAGATAAAAACTTCATATAGCTATGCGTAATTGGAAAACAATTGTTAACTCATGAACTTCAGCTCCACATTGTGAAATATTGTGGGATGGAAAAATTCAAATTAAAATTCAGTTCAGTCTCTTAAGATGCTTGCAGCTTGCTTGCCATTTGCTAAAATCTTGACTACTTAGTTGTACAATTTACAGTTCCATCAATGCCAACAACAACATCAATAGGAGACCTAGGAGACTTCATTTCATCTACACTCTGTCTGTGTGTGGGCACGCCCTCTTATACGGAGTTCTCCTCGAGTCCCTGCTGTAATCGTAGAAAACCTTAGCAATTCCATGCAATAAATTGTTAATTTTTCAGTTACCTTCATTAGGGGACTGATGGCTCTGGGCATGACGCTCAGAGTGCTGCCAGTGCCCGCAATATTGGTGGGCAGCATGTGGAGCGCATTGTTTGAACCACGGTGCAGCGACAGCGGTGCATGTTGACCCACCAGCGTGGTGGTTGTGGCCGAAGATACACAAGATTCACGCTTGCCACGTCCGTAGTAAGATGTCAAAGGGCTGCATATTAAACGAAAACTTAATACAAGCACCAACTTTGAAGTAGAAAGGGTTTAAGTAAAGTGTTGTGCATACACAAACATACATATATATATACATAGCAATATGTAAGAGGAAAAGTAGACACAGCTAAAAAATATATTATGAACTTAAAACTTTAAGAAAAGATTTTCAAATGAAGAACAATACACAAGAATAAAGGAAATTATACGTAAATAAAGATATGGATAAATATAAGTATATATTTTGAGTGCTTTCATAGAAAAGCACCCACCAGAATTGCATGTACAAAGCTGTGAATTCGATATATGAACTGAACTGTTTGATAAAAAACTTTAACAAAAGAACTAGTTCAAGCGTAAGTTAATCTACCTGTACGACCTGCCTGCTCATTACTGTCTTACCTGACACCTACAACACGCTTTGCCTCATTATACGAAACAGGTGCGTGTAATTAAACCCGAAAAATTCTCAAGACAGTTTTCACTTACCGCATACTCTCAGCGCGAGGGGAGCCGCCGCCCTTGGAGAAACTTTTTGTTGTATACCTGCCAAGGAGTTGCGAAAGAAGAGCTTTAGAGGTGTGTATCAAAAGGGCGAGAGGGCGTGGCTGTGTGTCTGAATAGTTGGGACTAACTACTTGAAACATGTACCCACCGTCGGTTCTGGTTGCGTTGTATGTTGCGCGTGTCGCGCCAAGTGGATGCATGATGTCGCAGCGCGTTGCGCACCTCCGAATTGAGGAAACAGTAGAACAGAGACACCCAAAAGCCCTGTCAAGCGGAAGAGTAAATATTTGAACCGCAACGTTGCGCAAACAAAACACTTGCCTGGGTGCTGAGCAGCACGGCGCGCAGCACGGCAAACATGTGACCCATTAGGCCCGATTCGGAGGGGCCGGCTAGCACCACCAGATAGGTGATGCCAAAGAGCGGAATGAGCACGAGCAACGCCTTGGCCGCCTTCCGGTACTGGCGCGTCTCCACGGTATTCGCGGACCGGAGCTTGGTGATGAGCACCTGACAACAGAAGAAGAGCTGTTGCGCTTACGGGGCTTGACATGCGTCGGGCGTTGGGCCTAACAACTTACCCACATGATGCGCAGCAGGAATGTCAAATTGATGATGAGAACCGCACAGACGGGTCCTTGGAATATCCAGTCGACATTTGTCTCCTCCATCCAGGGACAGTTGATGTCATACTGGGCGCGAATAAAAGTTTAATGAGCCCGAACGAAACGACAGTAAGCTGTGCGGCCTTAACCTACCTTCTCCATGTTGTTGTTGTAGGTCACCGTTAGACTCTTTGCCACCGCCCAGGTGACGACAAAGAGCGCCGGACCGCCTGTCGAGTAGTCAAACAGGGAGGTGGTGAGATGACAACTTAATTAGCTGTACAAATTGCAATCGCAGCCGAAACTTACCCCAGCCAATGGAGGCGTAGATATTAAATCGTATATTATCGCCGGAGAAAGTCTTGACCACCAACATATACAGATACAGACCCTCGACCAGCATCCAAAAGAAATTGGTCAGCGTGAAGAAATGAAAAAGCGTGACCAGGGCAATGCAGCTGCTCAGTCCGCTGCGAATAGAGATCTGCAAGAATGACAGACAAAGAGGGCCAGAGCGGCATAAGGGTAGAGCGAAATGAGAAATGGACGCTGTCCAGGCGCCGGGCACGTCTCACCTGCACGGACAGCAAGAGTATCCAGAACAAAGCCGACATGATGTAGGTGAAGAACAAATTGGCGTGGATGGTGTTCCGCAGGCAACGCAGCTCCCTGAAATCAGGGGGAAGGATAGGTTGTATATAGGAATAGCTGGCAGTTACATGGCTGGCCACACACTCCACTCACTTGTAGTAGGCGAAGACAATCAGCGCCAGCGTGAGCGAGACCAGGCTTAGGGCATAGCCAATATAATAAATGATGGTGGGCAGCTCCACAATGGTCTCGAACTCCGGCACTGTCTGCGTCTCCGCGGGCAAATGGGCGCATGCATCGTAGTCCGTATACTGGGCCCAGGTGCCGTTCGCGTGGCAAAAGCGCGTTGCATTCTCTGCGGAGCGTAACGACAGCCGGTTGGATAGGTCAAAGGCAAAGCCATGCAACGGCATATATACTCACTGCTGCTGTCGTAGTGTATGCCCTGCAGTTCATCCATGCACTGGAGCACAGCCAGGGTGCCGCGTGCCGTGCGCGGCCAGCAGAGTATCGTATCGAACTGGGTGAGGCAATGGTCGCTGGCATTGCCATAGGTCGTTGCCTCAATTTGCTGCTGCAGCAGGCAGTGCAGCTCGACGCTTTGATTGATGCCATCCAGATTGTCGAGGGACCAAAGCGCGTCATTAACGCTGCTGTTCAATGCTTCGCTAGCGATCGGGTTGTTGTTGTTGCCGTTGTTGTTGCCGTTATTGTTGTTGTCCTTGCTCATTGTGGCAGCTGCTGCGCCCGCTTTGCCTGTGGGCGTGTCAAACTGGCATATTAGCAGCTTGGGTTAACTTACTCTTGCTTGCACTTTGCAGAAACCCCAAGAGTTTCGTCGTCAATTCAAGTAAAACAACTCTCAAAGTTCAGCAAAGAATTTAATTTCTGAAACTTAGAATAAAACTGTTTTTAGCGTTGAAATTAGAAAGGATTCAAAAGTTGCAACACTCTAGTCGTAAGTCAGTTACAGTTTTGTAGTCGGTGGTGCCCAAACTAGGTGATACCCTGCACGTAACTCCAAACTGTCATTTAAAATTTCCAATTTCCTTCCATACACTCAAACACACACACAGGTTCCTGCGCCCACATATGGGTATGGCATTCTTTACTTACTCGGTGCTTAAAGTCCAACAAATCCAAGACTCCTTAAAATACGGCGATTTCGGAGACTACTTAAACATGTAAATTTGCCACGAAATCGCTTTTAACTGGCCAGAAAAACCGCCAAACCGCCAAATGGATAAGAAAACACAGTTAAATGTGACAGCTAACAATGTGCCAGGGATTGTGCGCGGCAACTGGGTTAGAAACCAGGACTGAGGTCCAAACAAGCTGCTGGCAACCGCAGCTTGCGGCAACTACACTTTGTGTGTACATGTGTGTGTGTGTACGTACGCGTGAGTGTGCGTGTGTTAATTGCATTGGCCAACAAAGAACCCAACGGAATGGTTTCTGTGCCAAAAGGGCAACAGTTTAAAGCGCCATAAAATCAATGAGGAAAATTGCATTTTATGCCCAGCGGCCTTACCTTATGGCTTTAACTTGGCCCAGACACATTTTGCCTGATTTATTAATATAGTACGAGCATTGAGGGGGGCGTTAGGGGAGGGCTGTAGCACAGTGCTATAAAAATTCATTAGCTTGCACAAAAGTTGGCCATCAACGGCTGACTGACAGTCAGTTGGGGTTTTGGCCGTGGTTTGGCTGGAAAAAAGGCCAAAGACAAAAAGGTAGCCTACAGGCCATAGTAGAAATTAGAGGCTAGACAGCCAGCAAAGGGCGTGGTCGGGAGCACAACCTTCAAGTCAGCAGGACCCAAATCTTGCATTTATATGCTGATAATAAATGGCATAAATGATGCATCGTTACATTAATGCATGGCATAAAAACAGGCGCAAATACACACATTTCACACACACACACACTTATATAAACAGATAATAAATATGTAGTAGCTGTGCCCAGCCAACCGTGCAATACAGTGCGCGTGTGGAGTATGCGAACGGGTGGAATATGAAAAGGGAAGTGTTTTTTCATACATGTGCCGAGACTAGCTGTTGCGAAGACCGTAAAGGGTTTCGCATTTAATAGTAAGTCCTTATTTATGCATGGGGTGGCATAGTAAATAGCTAACAATTATTTATGTATTAGGCGGAATAATAGAAAACAATTTCAACAGAATTCTGTTAAAACCTCAATTTATGCATATTTCAACTAACATTTTCCAGCTAAAGATACAGATGCAAATACAATTTGGAAAATAAACAAAATATAAAACCTCTACTATGCAGGCTTTATACGTAGAGTTAAATATAAAACCTATGTAAGCAGATATATTCTGATTTATACAGTGTGATATAAAACTAAAAGAAATTCCCAAGGATTGACTACCAACTACCTGGGATCGTGCTATTCATAGGATCGATCTACTAGGGTTTTGAAATTTTAATATTAAATTTATATATAATAGTAAAAGTTCTTCGAAATATTGATGATACTTATAGCTCGCTTATAACTAGATTTTAACTTATTTGTAATAACATATAATAAATTGGAATAATATATTCATATACATTTAAGTAAACTTTTCAGCAGTATAGTTCTAATATGCGTGCGAGCACTGTATTTGTTCTTTATAGCAAACAGTAGCTTTTTTAGTTTAACAAAAAAGTTATTGCCCGTTGGCTATTTAGCACATATTCGCACGCTGTGTGTATATGGGCGTTCTACTTTTCTGAGTCACTGTGTGCAATGGCTCATAACTTCTTAGCCCTTTGTTGTACGCTCTTTTGCTGAAACTGTTCTGTTTATTGTTGTTATTGTGCATGCCGCCTGGCTCGTAAATTAGCGCAACATAAAGCCGCCGACTAGATTATTTCTGCACATGCCTCGGGCTTACTTACTTTCAGCCCAGCATTCATTAGCCACGTTAGCTGCTGGTTACAGCCAACTGCAATTGCGGAGGCGCTTGCGCCCGCTGAACATTTCAATTTGAAGCCGCAATTTTGCAAATTGCCCGCGCAAAGGCGGCAAGAAAAAAATGATTAAGAACAAAATTGAAATACCCGAGCATCTAATTGCCTCATAAATAATGTGCAGCTGCCATGCTGAACCCTTAAAAAAGAGGGAAATATATAAGAATTTAAATTAAAATGGAAATATGATTGCTAACTGCATATTTGATTTCAATTAGCCGCAACAAGAGACGAAACAGCAGAATGTCCCTCACAATTCATCAGGCGCAAATGCAAATTTATTTTGAAAGTTTGGCAAAACACATACCAACACATACACCCACACACACACACGCACACACAAAAATGAAATGTGTTCATCTGACAATCTCATTTATGGCGTTCACAACTGATGAATGTCCGGCTGGCATCATAAAATATTTTCAGCTTGGCCAAATCAACGCAAATATAAAAAGCACATTACGAAAACGCCCGCAGGCTGGTAAAAAAAAAAAAACGGACACAGGAGAACTTGACTGGGAGATACCTTCTCCTTTCCAGTTTGAAGTAAACCCAAGATGCCAAACACTATGCCTATTTACATTCACGATAACAATAATACAATATTATTTAAATCGTGAATTTAAAACCTTCGGAGTTTATCGGCATGATAACAGTCCCCAAAAAGGTCTACACATACTTCCCCTTTACTATACTGCTTTGTATACAGGGTATAAAAGGACACAGATGTAGATGAACAAATAAAATGCACACACAAATAGAAGCAGAACAAATGGATAAACACACTAGTGGCCGACGAAGACGGCGGGCGGGGGCAATGTAGTATAACGTTTGCTTATTTGCTGTCGCATCCTTGCCCAGTTTTTGCCATCCTCCCGCCCAAGCCACAGTGCCAGCGTATATGCTATTATAGAAGATTGTATCTAATCTCGTGCGATTGCACACAATGGATTTGCCAAAGGCGCTGGCGACAACACACGCACACACACACACAAAAAGACGTTTAGTGTGTGCACATGTGTGTGTGTGTGTGTGTGTGTGTGTATCGAATTCCTGCGGCTGAATGAGTACCGTAGTGAACGGAATGCGAAATGCTCATACCTCAAGCTCTGCACTCTGCCCTCTGCCCTCTGTCCTTTGCGAGTGTCTGCAATATCCGGCTGCTGCTCTAATGCTTATAAATGTTTACGCTCCTCGCCAGCTGCTCCGCGCTGCTGCTGCTGCTGCTGGTAATTGTCGAGCATTCCAATATATAGAATTGAAAATATAATAATAATCATACAAGAGAAACACACACAGTGGGGCAATTGTTCCGCCATTTGCGGCATACAGCATTAAATGGCTGCGGTTGACACCGCCAAAGTGGGGCAGCTTAATGCCAGCTGTCGCCTGGCTGTGACAGGTCGCGTGGACAGGTCGCGCTTGTATTTAAGACATTTTCATTATCAGCAGACGCCAAGATAATAAAGCCGCAGAAAGCAGAGTCGGAACAGCGCGAGGACAATGTCAGGATGTGCCCAACAAAAAGCCAACACAGCTTGATTGCTATTTTTAGCTGTTGCTGCTCTGTTTCAGCTCTCATTATTGTAGCTCATTAAATTTGATATGCACAAACAGGACACACAGCGAGCAGAGCCAAAGCAGAGACAATGAAGCCGCGGAGCATTTAAAAATTCATGAGCAAGTGTTACGCATACGACGCGTGCGCCAGTGCAAAATTTTTAAAAGCACACACACATATGTATATGCGCATATATTTCGCCTTTGGGCATATATTATGACAATCCCAAATGCGTTTTATATTTATTTAAGAGTAGCTGCAGCTAAACAGCATTCCAGGCTTAGATTTTTGTTTATAAATTAATAATCGGATGCTTTTGAATAACTAAAAACACAAAAAAGGCAACAGCAACCTTACAAGCCGCTTAATAAACAAATTAATGAAAAATAATAACAATAATCGAATGCTTGTAACCTTTAATCACTAAACTAAGCAAACGAATTGATATGAACTCCAACCTATTATGTTGATTACGCTATTATTAAATCTCTCTCTCTCTCTCTCTCTCTCTCTCTCTCTCTCTCTCTCTCTCTCTCTCTCTCTCTCTCTCTCTCTCTCTCTCTCTCTCTCTCTCTCTCTCTCTTTAATTTTTTCCAGAAGATAATAATGTGTCTTAGAAATAAATAAAATTATCGAAAGTTTTCTATACTTGTCTGGAAATTCTCTTTTTTTCTCACAATCGCATATGTAACCAAAACCCTTTCATATTCTAATATTATAATCGGAAAATCAACCTTTTTTGATGATTTTTTGGAATATTTTGGCCAAATAATGTTCGATTTTGGAATTTCATACCATTTTGGACTCGTAAGAATCAGTAAAATCGATTGGCATCAAAAAAAGGAAGACTTAAATTTTGACGCAAATCGACCAAAAAGTAAGAGGTTACATCATGTTTTTTCTCAAAATCGGGGTCGGTTCAAAAACCAAAACTTTTGTGATGATTTTTTTTAATATCTCGGGTAAATATTGTCTGATGATAAAATTTTGTACCTTTTTGAATTCTTATATATACCTACTTTCAATTGGCATTTAAATAAATGAAAAATCTATGGGTTAAACAAAGTTGTTGACCAAAAACCGATTTGTTTGTAATGTCTTAATTTAATAATTTTCTAGAATATCTCGGAATTTATACCAGTTTGGACTCGTAAGGATCAGTTCTGTCGATGGGATCAGTACTATGGCATTAAAAAAAAAGAAAATCTAAATTTTTACCCAAAACCACAAATAAGGAAGGGGTTACGTCTTTCACGTTTTTTCATCTGAAGTTTGGGCAGCATTCACTCCCCACATTCAGACCTTCTGTCTGCGCTATTAATGCATGAATTCTCGCACTGATACGACTCCCCTAGGCGCAATCTCCGCAATACATTAATGTGCACAATGTAGTGGTACATAGATCGGTCGGGGCATAAAACTTTTGTGGCGAGTGTTTTCGCCGACTTTAATGCATCCACAGGCGGCAATGAAATTTGATGATGGGCGGCATGAAAAACGCAAACGTTGTTTTTACCCAGTCCAAAGGACTGGCAAAGGTTTAAATATTGGTTTACGCATGCGAATGTCCAAAGAGGTGTTTGGGGAGTGGATGGAGCAAGTTTTAGCCAAGGAACGACCGACTCTCGTCTAGACGAGCAACATAATTTGCACAGACTTCCGCCGCTCGAGGGCCTCCCACACCTGTCGGGGCGCCACTTTTGGCTGTTATCCAAAACTTGATGGTCGGCTATTTGGAGCAGGATCAGGCGCCATTGCCAACAAGTGTTGCGTTTTATTGTCTCGCCATTAACGGTTTTCCGTTCAGCTTGAGTGTTGCGGCACGTGCAGCAGCAGCAAAGCTCGGAACGGCACGCGCTGCAGCTACGTGAGTGCTGGAGAGGATGTGGCTGTGGCTGTGGCTGTGGCTTTCCTGAAATGTTGCTAACAAGCTGAGGATTTACTTGCGGCTGCTGACTCGCATAAATCCATAAAAATGAACACACAACAAAAGCTAAATAAGACAAACAAAAAACCTGCGTGTGGGGGAAATCTGTTATTTATTGGGTCAATAAAAATTTGGTTTAATGCATTGCAAGTTTTGCCAAATATGCCAGAGATTTGCCAGAAGATTTACGACCGTGCTGGGGGCTCCAAAGAGGGCCATTGTCATGGGGTTGATATGTTAAGAGTGCGGCAAACGGAAGTTCATAAAACGAAATCAAATTGGAGGAACACGACCGAAGGCAGCCCAAAAGTAGGCAACAAGTTTTCTCTCAATTGGCTGCCATTGTTATGCCCGATAACAACAACAATAACAATATTTTTACTTCCGTTTCCACACGAATCTGTTGCTAGGGCTATCGTTATCCACATCTAATGGAGTTTTTGGCAATCGATAGTGCACCGGGTGTGCACCCACCCACACACACACACACCCATACACTCACACTTACAACAATGAAGCCAATCGCCAATCCTTTTATTCTGCTACGCATTGTTGTGCTAGGTGTGGGCGTGTATAGCTTTTTGCTTGGCATTTTAATTAAAACCACAAACAGTGGATGATTGTTGCTTCCCACACATTCACACACACTCGCACACACACACACAAATTGCACATACCTCTGGCTTGTGTTAATTTAGCGTCGAGTGGCTGCAATCCTCGGCGTGTGTGTTTGTTGGCCTAAGCTGGCGTGGGATTTTTCATTTGACCGCTGCTTAGTCAAATGGTTCGGCTATCCTTTGTCCACTTTGACCACTTATTTGCCCTGGCTTACATTTGTTTAACGCCTGCTAAGCTGCAAAATGATTATGCTCAAGCGTTATTCTTGGTTTCTGTGTGCTGTTGCGTTGTCTTGGTTATTGACAGACACACACTCTCACACACGCACACACACACACTCACTACTTGTTGTCAGTTAAGCATTCGAATGCTGGATTATTTGTCATGGCATTTCACTGCCTTAAAATAACTCAATTTTATTTATGAATAAAGTGAATACTTGGAACAAATATATAGAATAAATAAACTCCTTATATGCACTCTTTAATATTTAATCTTTTTAATTTGAGTACTCGTATGTGTTCAGAATTCGTTGCGATTTTGAAAAGTTTTCACCGAGCTTTACTCTAAACCAATTTGTTGACTGCCGCTGCTCGAACCGCACTCGCTCACAAGCCGCTGATAACTGGAGGCTATGCTGTCGCATCTTAACAAGCCCCGGAAAACGACCAAGTTCTTACCACCTTCCACTCGGGGGAAATGGCGCGAAATATTTAGGTTCCACAAAAAGCTCTGCGAAAGCTGCGTGCCACATAAGCGACAGGCGGTTGCTGCTTCGGCCACACACCCGACTTGCCGCAACAGGTGTGTGTGTGTGTGTGTGTGAGTGTGTGTGTGTTGAGATTTTCCGAAATATTTTCCAAGGAAATGCAATTTCTTTTGGTCGCTTACCACTCGCTATGGCGCCTGAAAATCTGCTCATTTGATTATGTAAATATTTGTCATGCCCAATGTTTGAGCAGCATTTTGCTGCCCTTTCGGCAACTGTGTGTGCTTAGGGTCGGAAAATGCAGGCAAAAGGATATCATTTTGGATCGCCTTTGAAGTTGCGCCTGGCCAAAGCTCAGTTTCAGCTCGCAGCTAATTAAATTAAACTCAAGCACGACGCGTGTCGACATTTATTAAAAATCACAATATGCGACAGGTGCTTCAACTGAAATTGCCGTAGGGCACACGCAAATTGAAAAAACAAAAAATAAATCAGTGAAAACAAAGATACCCACACACCCAAGCCCACAACCGTATTTAAATAAAAAGCCGACATGGAGCCGGCTGATAATAACACAATGAGAAACATTTTGGCCCCAAACAGCTGAGGGCTGAATGCGTCTGACACATTCGGCAAGCGTCCTTAACAGCCTTAACGACAACAACAGCAACAACAACAATAGCAATACGCACAAAATTCTACAAAAATAAATGCTAATGTCAACTGCCATTCGAGAGCATTTAAATTCCATTTGAAAAATTCATTGCCAAGAGCACAGACATGTTCGCCGTAAATGTCCTGCAGCCGCTGCGTGCCTTGTTTGCGCATATCCTTATGCATATTAAAGCGCTCATCCACATTGGCACGGCAAGGACATGCCATAGCCCCAGCCAATTGAATTTAACGCCAGACATTTAGGTTCTAAGCAACCTATAAAAGTGATTTTCAAGTATGTCTAAAGTGCTTTGGCATCGAGTCCTAGATTGATTGCTAAGACACACTGTGCAAAAGTTTTTCAATTTTCCCTCAACCAGACGGGAAAAACTATCAGTGCAAACTGTTTTCGCATTGTGGCAAAGAGTTGACTGCGATTTATTTGCCAGTCAGTGGGGCATGAATTGACTATTGTTGCACTTCAGCTTGCCTGCTGATGGACATTTAAATACCCTATCGCAGTCACTTGCTGGGATTTGGGATTACTTAACTCTCATACAATTAACTGTGACACCACAATATCAAATGTTAAACATAAGATAAATGATGATGAATGAGTGAATCTGATGAATAAAAGTCATAATTGCTTAACATAATATATTTTTAGAATTTTGGGTACATCTTCGGATCTATCTACTTATCTATCAATCTTTCTAAAATTGATTTGATTTTTCTTTTGCTTTAAGGGGAAAATAAGGTATGTGAGAGCTTTATAAGTTGTGAACCGACACCTGGATTCACAGATGTGGAAAACCAGTTTCCCAAATTGAATCTGAAAGGGAAGCATTGGTTTGCAGCCAGGCCTTTTTACACGTGATTACAATTAGATATCGACTTCAATAATTGATTGAGCCTTGATAATGTATGCATATCAATAATTAGGTTTTACCAAAGTGTGTACAAAACTTATACGAAGAAGGGGTTCAAATGATGTCGCTGCAGTAAGAAATTTCACATATTGTGAACCTTAAATTTTTAACTTAACGTATATAACTTTATCTTATATGCTACTTGCCTGATGCAAACAATACTAAAAATGTTTAATGTCTTTAATCTCACGCACGTAGCTCAGTTTACAACCCAAAAAAAAACCCCATCAACGTGCGGCGGTTAAGAGCTTAAGGCAACCGCCGAGCATATGAGACTGAAACCTAACGTCAATGAGGATGAAAACAGAGATGATAATGAAGTTGAACAATGCGCTGGCTCAAGTGAGCTCACAGCCGAGTGGGTGGTCTGGGTGCTTGGCAATAGCATCAACAACAATAGCTGGCGACTTGTCGGCATTGAGCCAACAACAATCTGATTACGCACATTACTCATGCATTTATGAACTAACTCCTTTGAAGGCCTCATAACCGCCAACTGTTTAACTGAGCTGAGACGTGCTGATACCAGCAATTGAGCCCTTATGAATCATATGCAATATTAACTAGTTGCATTGGAATTGTTTTGACACATACCCATAGTTTTCATATTAGCTTAGACTTCAGGTGCGTGAGATAAGGTGAAGGCTTTGAGCAATATTACAATTGATATGCATCTGTCGGGACAATGAGGTCAGATGCATACGTGCGAATCAGGACTTTGGATTGAAATGCAAAAAATCAAACTCTACAGTTTTAGCAAATTAGACATTAGCTTGAAAGTATACTAACATTATTACTTCTATTATTATTGTTATTATTATTATTATTAGTATTATTATTATTAAAATTATTGCTATAGTCCAGGATTTGTCCTCCTCCATCCAAACTAGCAACCCATATGTTTTTAAATACCTGTCACTAACTAATAAAGCCTTTGCTTAAGACAATATCTTATAATATCCAAAAACTAGACTGTGACTCAAGCTTAGAAAGTCCATTTAATGAGAAGGGCTATAAAATAGCTATTATAATTGAAGAGTAGACGAACGAAACATTATGTTACTTCTTATAAACTGTAAACTGTAGACTGTAGACTTTTATCGTGTTCAGCCAAACGACTACGCATATGATTTAATCAGAATCAGGGTATTTAGTGGATATTAAAACCCATTTAGCTGCAGGTATTTCCCCCCAAAAAAATGACTGTTTACCCTGGTCACGCACTGTCAGTTGCCTGGTGAAAGTAATCACGTATCAGTCGACGCACTCTGCCCATCAGTTGGCCAAAATTATATTTTTTTTGTGTTTCGGATGTGTCACCTTCAATTGACGCATTGGACCAAAAGCAGCGGTTTGTTTTCATTAGGATGACGATAACATTAGCTCATTAGAGTATGCTTTCCGGTTGACTATATAAAGCAGCGATGCGCTGGCGCACAAATTTTATTCATTTGCCGCACTTCAATAAAACAAAGTTCCGGAAAATGCGTCCAACAATTTTCCAGTGCGCTGCATTGGTAATGGTGAGTAAATGGGCTTTTATGCGCGGGCTCTTTAATTATATATTTATGTGCAGCTGTCGCTGTTGCTGCGCCACGCGCATGCCGCCTACAATTGTTCATCGCCGCCGAATTTTAACAATTTCGTAAGTAAATTCAATCGTGCGTCCATTATGAATGAATATTGAATGAAATATTTTTTGGCAGGACGTGAACTCGTGCTGCCGCACGCCGGAAATCAATCTGGGCAACGTGCCACAAAAATGCCAGCAGCACGTAAATCAACTTAAGTCCGCCAATCAGAAGTATCCGGCCTTTGCGCATCTGGTAAGCAAATAAAAAGTAATCAGGGAATGTAATTTAAAGTATATTTTAAACACCCGGACACTTGCCAGTGCTATCCGGAGTGCATATACAGAGAGACGGGCGCCCTGGTCAATGGCAGACTGCATATGGACAAGGTGCGACAATATCTGCAGGAGCATGTGCATCGACGCGATCGCGAGGTGGTGCCACACATTGTGCGCTCCTTTGAGACATGCCGGAAAAACAGTGCGTATGCGTAATATACAAATTTTGAATCAGAGTTTAACTGTCTTGGATTCGAATATTTCCCCAGTTCATGGCCACATGAAGGCCGCAAAGCTCGAGTCGTATAAGGTGCTGCCCCAGGGCTGTTCGCCCTATGCCGCCATGCTGTACAGCTGCGTCAATGCGGAGACCTTTATCAACTGTCCGGCCAAGATGTGGAAGTCGGACGAGCACTGCCTCGTGGCCAAACAGTTTGCCGAGCAATGCAATCCTCTGCCGCACGTACCGCTGCCCATGAGCTGATCTCGATAAGCCTATTCATTCACATTTTTAGCTTTATGTTTTGTGTTCGAGTGTTCAAAATAAAACTGAAAAAAGAAATTTGAAATCATTTCATAATTACGCTGATTAGTCTGAATCGGTTCCCATTAAATGAGCCGTGACATGTGTCTGGCTGCCGAGCTTGGCTAATGTTTTTCACCCTGGCTCATTCAAGGTTCAGTTGTCAAACAGCTCAGTTGAAAACCCGATCTTTGATCTTGGATTTGCATTATGAATCATTCGACTGTGTTTCTGATCAGCTGCCTGCTGCTCGGCAGCAACGCTCGGGCTGCTTTTAAGGACTTTGTCGTTGAGCCAGACGCAGAGCAGGTGAGCATAATCCATTCATCTTCCTGTTTAATTAATGCCTATTCCAGCAGTTACAGTTGGAGCCCAATAACGGCATAGCTCTGGGCTGTCCCGCAGAAGACGAACAGCCCCTGATCTCATTCCATGATGTGGAACAAGATGGCATTGTCGACACACAGCTGCTGCTCGCAGCGCTCATGCAACATGCCCAACGTCTGGGCATGAATCTGGAGCAATTGGGTAGGTACAAAACTGAACTTATCTGACTTCTCTAATTGATTGATAATCCCAAGCAGCTCAAATTCAGGCAATTGGGGAGGAGGATGTATTGGAATCTGATGCTGGTTGCAGTGCAGCGGAGTCGCTTAGCTATCGCGAGCAGCCCAGCTGGTATGATGTGTTCTTCAACTAAACTATTATAAATTGCTGTCATCTGAAGATCATAAATAAAAACATATGCTAAGCATGTCTGGATTCTATTACTCTAGCTATAGGAAGAGCATATGCTGGTGCTAAGATTTTAGGATCCGCAGGAAGTTAGATTAGCTAAAGGTCATTCATTTATTTTCCTGTATGTCCTTTAATGGGAAAACTAATTGGATTTCGCACTGCAAAATCTTCCACTAATATCACACTGGCAGGTGTTTTTATATTCCAGCGCCTCCTCGCATATCCGGCTGCGTGTCCAGCTGGCCGACGGGCAGTGGACAAATACGTATTCCGCTGCGCAAATGCCCAGGTACAGGGGCAGCAGGGTACAGTTGTCGGTGCCATAAAATCGCCGTTTCTTGTACTTGAGCATTTCACTTTCGTTGGCAGCGCAATTCTCGAGAGCTGTCGCATATATGTCCACAAACTCCTTGTTGGTGCCCAGTAGCCGTTCGGTCAGCCTGTGTGCATTGTCCACATTCAGTTGCATGCCGGTCAGCGTCTGGCTGACATTGAAGATGCAGTCGTAGAGGCACTTTCATATGAAAATGTGTTAGTTAGTTGTATTAAGTAGACATGAGACATGCTCTGCTACTTACTGGCGACATGCTTTTGCGGTTATCGGCCATAAACCGGCCACAACTCTGCCGGAATGCCTCAAAGTTCAAGCTGGGCTTGGCGCAGCAGTTGTTAATCGTCTGTTTGGGAAATTCGGCTGTAAGTGCTCGTTAAGGATTCAATATCCTTTTTCGATTTACTCACATTATGCTGCAAACGCTGACTGCAGTCGATGTCCGCACTGCCGGACAATATGTTGGCCAACAGCCAAATTATTACACTCGCACACTTGGTCAGCATTTTTGTCGTTTTGAGCCATGACTGTCAAATTCTGTTGCTATATATACGACTGTTCAGACCGTCTGCAATTTAATGAAGCGCACACAAATTATGCACTTAATTGGCAAATAAATTGTTTAATTAAACACCATTGTTTAAAAGTTCGCACAAATATCCCTACATAATTTCGCATATGCTTACTTTCCGAGTCGATGCGACTTCTTAGTCAGGACTTGGGACAGATGCCACTTATAAAAGTCTATTCCTATATTCTTTGTTAACTTAACACACGCTTTAACATGCTGTTAAACTTAAATGAACTTTGACTTGCAAGGTACGTCTCTTACTTTGAAAACATTAGAAAGGAGCTGAACTAGAGATTCGAGATTTCTCATCTTCATTATAAATTTAAAAATCGCCTTAACATAATGTTAAGCTCGATACTCCTAAGCTCTAGCTTGCTGTAACTTGAAGTGTGAAAACGTACAACGACAATGGAAATCTACACTCATATATGCCTATTAGGCCCAAATTCTCATCTTCATTGTAAAATTGACAGACACTTTAACATGCTGTAGTACCTGGCTAAGTTTCATCTTTACCTAAACTTGCATAAACTTGCACCTTAGCTTGGATAAAAAAAATAAATAAATAAAATTAGAGTAAAATTAAATTTAACACAGATGCAATGAATATTATGAACTCTACACTTCTGCTAAGTATTTACAATGAGAAGCTGCTGCCTTTGTTATATTATATATATATGATTTACAATATCTTGTTAAAATAAAGATAAATAAGAAAAACCTATTTAAAAGCAGGTACCTCCGCTAAAAAGGTGACCCAATGTTAGTTACATAGCACGGTCGACTAATGGAAAACATAATTTTCCCTAAAAAAGCTTCGTCATGATTGTACAATAAGCTAGTATTAAGCAATTAGGCAAACGCTTGTTTAATTGAAAGTCATAATAAAGGTAATACTATTATTTATAGCTGTAGACACTTTTATGACTCTAAAATACCAATCGTTATGTATCTTTGTATCTTTGACCAGAACAAGCCGCCACGCTTGTCGAGGGCTTATCGGGCTGCACATGCAGCTGCAGCACGCAATTGCTATGTATTTTACTAGCCACAGCCAGATCAGGGAATATTTTATTCAGTTAATTGAGAGACTTTTTAGCATGCGGCTGAGTTGGCTGTTTTTCCTAATCGCCGTACTTCCCGCTTTGCTGAGCGCTGCCAAGTGCAGAGCAGCACCCAAATCCCTGCAGGTAGAGGAGGAAGGCTTTACAAAAAATCACCTGTTATCGACTAAACGAATTTGATTCCACAGAACGTTCAAATGTGTTGTCCTTTGCCCTTGCCCAACTGGGCCGCCTACAACAGTGACTGCGGCCAGTCGGGCGCGCAGCCCAGCGTAAGTGTTTAGCGTATATTAATCCTGACTATATCAACTGACTATCTTCGACTTCACCACCCGCACCCAGTGCCGGCTGGCCTGCATATTCAATGCCACGATGGCGTTGCAGGGCCGCCAGCTGAATCTAGCCCAGGTGCGTCCCATGCTGGAGCGCGCCTTCACCAATCCGGACAAAGTCGATGCCTATGCCAGCAATTTCGCGACTTGCGCGTCGCTGGTGCCCGGCAAGTACACGGAGCTGGCTGAGATCAGCCGCCAGAGCGCTGCCTGCGATCGCCATGCGCTCTTCTACAGCCTCTGCGCCTACTCGCGGCTGATGCGACGCTGTCCGGCCAGCGCCTGGCAGCGTGCCAACAAGCAATGCCAGGAGGCGAGCGCTTATATCAAAAGCTGTGCCTGGCCAGCGCTCAAGATGTTCATGAAAATCACATAGAATAAAGATCTATAGCGAGCTGGATTTATTGCCTACTATATAGTCGATCAGTGGCCGGGCTATCAAGTCCAGCACGCTGCGTCCACATTTGGCCGAATACCCTTGACAATTGTCCCGCTGTCCATTGCGCTCCGCGTTGTAGTAGCGCTGGGGCAGCGCCTCGTACTGGGAGCTGCTGGGACTGAACATCACATGCATCAGGCTGCCCAGTACGCCATTGAGCTCGCCCAGCTGTGCACTGTTCGCCTCGCAGATGAGCCGCAGCAGGCAGCCGTCGCCGCTGCCCAGGCCATGTCTGTTGGGAGCAAGAGGCAACTGGTCAATAGATGACTTAAGCAGCTTTTAAGCTATACGAACTCTTCAAATCTCTCTCCAAGTATCTTATAGAACTTGGTGCGTGAGAGCAGCTGATGCTCCTGGCGATGTCGGGCCACAGCCTCATTCCGCTCCTGCCGCGGATAGCCCTCGAAGAAATCTTTGTAGTCATCAGATGATGGCGTTGGGGTGGGCTTGGTTTTTTTCTTGGTTTTGTGTTTACGCTTGGGCGGCTTCAACTTTGAAGGTTTGTGGTCCTCATAGTCGTCATAGTAGTCCCCAAAATCAGCTACTGGATCACCACTTGGATCCGTGTCCGTATCATTACCACGACGCTGCAAACAGTGGCCAAAATGTGATGTGAATCGAAACAAATTTTCAAGAAACTTACAAAAACTGGTGGCTCTTCATGCCAAGTTTTGGGCAGCGTGTACGTGGCCTCAAAATAGTATGACATGAACACATGCCTTGAGGGCAGATCCAGTGGTATGGCAATAGCTGTAAAAAGCTAAAAAAGAAGAAATTTTAAATGATAACAGATTTACAGGTGGGAAAATACTTACCCCAACTGTTCCACCTGTGTTCCATACGAGCGCCGCCTGTACTGTACGTCCAAAACAGATTGTTAGCAGGATCTCAAGCAGGCCCACATTCATGTTGATGATTGCCTCAAAGCGCTGCAAGCTCCAACGCTTCTTTCGAACAACTGAAAATCAAAATTTTTTCGGCAAACGCCAAGCGACAACTGGGGCCGACTCGGAACTGATGTGGCAATTAGGAGCAGCTAGAAAAGTTCTTGGCCAGTGAAAGTTGCTAATTAAAAAGACAGCCGCACTTAAAACTGGGGCACACAAAAAAAAACAAATCTATATTTCTGCGAATACACTAATGATTCTTGCTACATTTCATTGCGCTCTATGCGCTCAAGGATCTGCTCAAAGGGCTCCGATATCAATTCCAACAAACTCTCGCCACAGTTTTGCTCATAAAAGCTGCAATGATCGTTCCAGCCATCGTGCTCCGCCTGATAGAAACGCAGCGGCAGCTGCTCCGGCTCGGAAGTGCTGGGACTGTCAAGTAAACAAATTTAATAGAAATGTATTTGAATAGGGTTCTATGTGACTCACCTGAAGAGCACGTGTATTAGACTGCCCAGCACACCGTTCACCTTGCCCAGCTCGGCGGCGCTGGTCTCGCAAATCAGCCGCAGCAAACAGGACTCGCCCGAGAAGCCACTCCTGGAAAGTAAACGCTTATATATATACTATTCCCGTAATCTTCGAGTCATAAGCACCTCTGAAATTTGTCCATTAGTATGTGATAAATATTGCTACGGGTGAGCAGAGCGCGTCTCTCGCGCTTGGGTTCAGAAGTGGGCATGGAAGTTGTCTGCTCCTGCTCCTGATCTGCACTGCCCTCTATGTCCTGCTCCTCCTCCTGCTCTCTCCTGCTCTCCTCTGCTGCATGGCTAGTCTTGCGTGATAGCTCCACCTCCTCGGATTCGATGGGACCGTTTTGCTGTATAGGCAAACATTTCAAATGTGAAATTTATTGTTATTTCTGGAGAATCGATATGTCTATGGAAAGAATATCAGGCGCAAAGATGCTAATTGACCTTTTAAATGTTGTGCTAATTGCCAGTGAATGCGGCATTTTATAGACGTCAGATCAGCATGAGCTAGACTTACAAATAAGGTCGGCTTACTCCAGTTATATGGCGAGTTGTAATTTGCCTCAAAGTTGTAAGACACAAAAACGTTACGATGCGGCAGCTCCAACGGCACAGCCAATGCGGCAAACACCTGCGAGAAAAGCACATTCAACTAACCACCGACCAAAACGCCAGGCTAAAAACAAACTCACGCCATGCGTGCTCGAGGGCACGAAGGCCAGGTAGGCATCGGCCGAACGCAAGCACAGCGCGTACATGGCCAGCACAAGGTGGGTTAAAGTTTGATCAGAGCCCATTTCGGATGCAAACACACATTCAATTGATCAGGCAGAGCTTCAGCCAACAACTGAGCTGCTGCTCCAGCCGCAGCAAGCACCGAAAGTGCGTTTACATTAAAGACACAACTGTTAATGGGCAGGGCAAACACGGCTAGAGAACAGAACCAAGAGGCAACCCAAGTCAGAGAGCGAGTGAGTGAGATGCAATGTTTCGAGTACTCTGTATCATGTACTCCAGTTTATTTTCTTCTTCTTCTTTGCACGATGTCTTGGAGTATTCGCTCCACGGGCGTTGAAATCAGATCCATAACATTGTAGGGGCAGTCGCTCTCGTAAAGCGAACATTGCTGCTGCAGTCCATCCGCCTCGGCCTGATAGTAATCAGGAGATAGCTGCTCATCTCTGGAGCTGCTAGGACTGCAAAGTATCGATATGGATAATAGTCGTGCCTACTGATGGAATACATTCCTGACTTACGTGAAAATAACGTGCACAATGCTGCCCAGGAATCCGTTTATTTCGCCCAGCGTTGAGGCGTTCGTCTCGCAAATCATGCGCAGCAGACAGGCCTCAGCGGGATAGCCAGATCTGGAGAGGATTAACTGTTAAATTGGTTACTGAACACATTTTCAACTGCAGCTCAGACCTGTCTAGTTTATCGCGCAGTATAGTGTAGAAGGTCTTCCGTGTCATCAGCGACAACTCGCGTTTTTCACGAACCGGAGCCGTAGTTGTGTCCCTCGTCTTTTCCGGTTCCGGGATCTCCGGCTCGGTTGTATTGGTGCCCACGGTGCAATTGTGACACTGTCTGCTTTGCGCTGCATCATGGGTGGGATACGTAAGATAGCCATCTGCGAAATCTTGACCCATCTATTGAAGAATGTGAACGCTTAAACAAAAGACTTAGGACACAAACTTCAATTAATTTACCAAAATAGGTGGGAATTTGTAAACGTGCTCCGGATGATAGTAATTGAACTCGTAATTGTAGGACAAAAACACATTGCGATGCGGTAGACTAATTGGCACGGATATGGCCACGAAGAGCTGCAATAAATTATAGTTAGCAACAAAATGCGAGGCGTGCTAAAAGCTGACAAGTTACACCATATTCCGAATTTGTGGGATAAATCAGAGCTGCGTGGCCGGATGAAATGCAGCAGATGGCAATCAGGCACAGCACTAGACTTAACTCAAAGATTGCCTGCATGGCGATTATCTCTAATGGAAATATAAAATACACTTTATAGCTAAGGAAACTTTCTGGAACTACGTCCAGCGCGACTCGTGTTGAACTGACGCCCATTGTGCGTACTGTCAAGCAAGAAACTTGTCGTTCAAAACAATCAAGAACTTGTTAATTAGAACAAATGAAACGAATTTGTTTGATTGTTGTGCGTAACATTCTATGTGGGTCATGGGGAATTGGTTAAATTCAGTTTGAACTCTACGTGCGAAACACGTTGATTCGGCGTCAAGGGGCGCGGCTACAATAAATGAATAAATTATCATAAAACTGACGATGCATAATATCCTGATGAACAGCCACAAAAACAATCCGCTGTGATGTTGTATAAATTTATAAGCACCACATCATGGGCACGTAGAAACATTGGTTATATCTTAATTATACACGTAATTCATATTTTTATTTCAATGCATTGAGTACTGCTAGTCGATAATAATGTTGTTTAGGATGGTTGGCTGCTGCGGCTGCTGCGGCTGCTGTTGCTGTTGCTGGTGCTGCTGATGCTGCATTTGTTATCTATTGTTGCGCAGCTTGCGCTCCTTCCATGTGGCATACTTGGAGTTGGCGGTGCGCAGCAGCATGTTCATATGTTGCGTGAGTGATGATCGCAGCGGCGAGAGCTCATGCATTGCACGATTCTATGGAGATTGTGAAAGAGTTAATATGTATAAATTTAGCATACTCTAGCATTTACTCACCTCGAAAGGCACTAGCTTGGCCATTTTAAAACGCTGCAGTGTCTCGTGCATACGCTGTAGCTTTGTTTCCAGCTCCTCCGTGGTGGGTGGAAAGCAGTTCCAAAAATGTTTCAGCAGCTCCAAGAGCGACAGATACAAGTGCCGCAAGTCGCGTTGAAAGTCGCGTGGTACCAGCTCTGCGGGTAAATCAAAAGATTTATGTCAGCTAAAATGATTCTTAATAATAAAGTGTACTTACGCCCTGCTGACTGCTCCTGAAAGCCACGCATGAGCGAGCCACCCGGACTGAGCTCGCCTAGAGCATTGACCGCTGCCTTGGAGCAGATGACATTGCGCTGCGCACTGCGATCCAGCCAGGATTCCGAGTTGCGAACCAGCTTGTACTGTACATCGTCCAGACTGAGGGCATCGGTATGATTTTCGTACATGTGATTCTGCAACGGTCCGTTGAGGTAGCGTTCCACTTTGGACAGCTCAAATTGTTTGGCTTTGTTGGTCGATTGATGCGAATCCTCATCCGATTCGATTAGTGGGTTGCCCAAATCTTCGTAGTGTATCTTTTCAATGAGACGTTGCCTCTTCGCTTGTGGTGCATCAATATTACTGGGAGCACTATCGACCGTATGCTTTGCTCCCTTGCCATTTAATCCGTTTGTGTATGTGGATTGTCCTAGTGGGCCATTAGCTACGTTATTGCCATTGGTTACGGTGGCAGAAGAGGCATTAACATTAGCGCACGTCTTCAGTACCATGATTGAATGCTGATTGAAGCGCTTGATCATGTTCTGATGCACAATATTCCCACTGTTTACTACATTGCGATCGCCGGCAACGCTACCGAAGCCCTCCTCCAGCGGCACATCCTCAAACTTTTTCAAATCCAACAGCGGATCACCTGCAGCCTGCTGCACGGACGCTTTAAGCGCCTGATCATCGATTTTGCCGCACTCCGTAAAGATGTCTTTGGTGCCAGCGGTGAGACGGTCTCGATGAAAATAGTGCGATTGAAAGAACTTCGTCCAGAACTCTGATTCAGGCATTTTGGCGGGAACGTTCTCCATATGTTTGCGCTTAACGGCGGGATATGTTTTAAAAATGCAGTGTATGACATCAGAGGTAAGATTGTATTTAAGGCCATTGCAACCGTCCGTCTGCGGCTTAATATCGGCCAAAAAAGCGCCAGAGACACCTGAGGGAGCAGAGACACATAAAACACAATACATTTTAATCCTTGTTATAGGTGCACATACCGATTTCCTGACTCTTGCCCATCTTTTTTAGAGCATGATCTTTGGCGTGCGTGGCCCAGAACTCATCGCTGGTAAGTACTTTGGTTATAACCAGATCCTTGTATAGCTGCAGCAAATTGGGATTCTCCACTAGAATACGGTTCTTGTCCTCCAGATCTTTGTCTACCTTCCGCTTGAAATTGGGCAGCAGCTGCTGTAGCAGCTCCTTGACCTTGTCACGATCGGCAAGCATGGCCGGCTGGCCCTGACGGTTAACAAAATGGAACGTCGAAGTGTTGCCGTCATGCAGCACCACCTGTAGCTGCACCTTTGGCTTGCCATCGGGCGAGATCTTCTGAGCTGCATTTTATAAGCACCGCCTATGTTAGTTTCTCACAACGCAATTTATGCACACAGTCACTTACTTTTTATATCCGCATAGCGATGGGACACGGTCACAGTGTCCCGGTGCTCCGCCATCCATGCTAAGCGCTCGTTCATCACATAGAGCGTGCCGTCACCCTTCTTGTAACGCACCTCGCCCATTTGCAGGAGCACATCTTCACTGCTGGTGGTCATCGTTGTCGTCTGTTTCTACGTCTGCAGCCGGCGGCAACGCTTTAATAAAATCCAATTGCAGTTCACATCAATTTCTCAGATGCCAGCCCAAGCCTGCAATATGCAAAGAACACGCATTTTCATCGTATCACATCATAAAATACATTTATGCAGATGGCAGCGTCACCCAAGCACTCTTGGAATCATGCTGTGCAACGTGGAACAGCCAAATAGCACAATACTTCGCTATTTTCACGAGATTACTAAAAACGCACCTCGTAGCAAAGTGCAATTGCCCAACAGTGCTTGTGGTTCGTGACGGAGCGCAAATCCCAAGTTCACTGAACTAGTTTCTTTTTGGATAATTGGACACTGTGGCAACTCTAATTTACAAATCTTTAGTTGCCGGCGCGAAAATTGTGCCCGCCCGAATGTCTCAAGTAATACAAAAACAGAGTATTTAATATTTTAAACTGTCAACTTAAGTATTACAAAGTAACGAAACTGGACATGACAAGTACAATGGTTACTTTTCATATAAATATGGTATTTATATTTACATTATTCTAAAATAAAAAATGCGTTCATATTACCGCCACATACACATTTACATATATGCCTGCGTATATGCATAACTGTTAATGTCCGTTCATCCAAATAGTGTGCACAATATGTGTATGTATATAGAACGTACCGTTTGCTTGCTCAAAAGTTGGCGTCCTCGCCAACTGTCAAGTCAATCTCGTCTTTATTATCATTTTTAGCTGATCGTCCTCTTTTTGCTTTATTTCCGTTTTTCTTATCCGATTCCCAAGTGAGGCGCTCCTCGTAAAATTTAATTACAACTTTTGGACATTTTACGTTGGCAAGCTTGGCAGGCACCAGTTCGTAGCGATCTGAATTTTCCCACGACATGAGAAACATGAGCTTTCCTGAAGAATCGGTGGCTCCTAGTATTTTCGAAGCAACCAATCCACGTTCGAAACCAAATTTCTCTTCACTTTCGTCTTTTATTAAAGTTATTCGCTTGTTTTGCCCGTCACGTGCTTTGCCATTCTCTGGAGAAGGTCTCTTTTTTGCCTGTGCTTTGTTCCTCGCCGATTTCTCAAATGAGGCTATAAAGTCGGGGCAAGAGAGATTTTCGACTGGCTCCCAAGTGTTTTCACTGCGTGGATATCCATGCCATTTTAATAAGTATTCGGTCACTCCATTTACTATGCGTTTGCCTTCGATGCCTTCAACCACATAATCGGTCATATTACAGTTTTTTGTTGAATTTAGTAATAACTAATTCTTGAGATATTATAATCATTGGCTTCCCGGCGAATTCTGCTTGGGAACTTTGTGTACGAACTAGTTCATAATACGCACATAACCTACCAGCTGGTGTCGCAGTACGTTACAGCGATATGGCAACGTCACGAAAAAAGCGCACCATTTTTGAATTATTAGCTGAATATATAAAAGTGGAATATAATTTTTAGTGTTTTTTATAATTCTCTGTGGTGGGGCAAAGTTTTTGACCCGGTACTTGTAAAACTATTGAAATTTGTGAATTATTGAGCGTTTCCATTTTATGAAATAAATAAGCCTTCAGAAAGCAGCTTCAACTGACCAAGATTTTTGCTATCGAAGCATTTTCTGATCCCTCTGCCAATTACCACATGCCACATGTGTATGAAAATATATATAGTGCTTAAATTTTTGTTTATTTGCTCTACATTTATATGTGTTCATGAATAGGAGACGTACTTGAGATTGAATGCATGTGTATGTTATGTACATGCAGATGTTGTACAGACTAGAGATGGGCGCGGGCCTTCTTTACGAGGACCGCTCCAACACGACAATCGCTTTTATTGAGTTTGGTTAATAGATATTTTACAATGAGGCGTTCCTATCAATATTTTGTATCACAAGGTGGAGATATTCTCCCATGTTTACCGCCCGCATCCACCATCTTGACCAAACAAGGCATGTATTAGTTTAACTATGCTCCTTACATATGTACATACATATGTATGTATAAGGAAATTATTATTAAGATCGCACTACTTTATCTCATCCATTCGTACATAAATGCAGACACAAACACACATATGGATATGAACTTTGTTATTCAAACTTATTTACGATATGCGGGGCATTTTCATGTTTGCATGAAATTATAATAAAAGTGCAATAGTAATAAGGCCCGACTAGGCACATATGTATATACATATATATGTATTACCTTGCATTTTATAATATTTATAATTTCCGAACATATGTATGTACATGTGTACGTAATACAATGAACTTCATAACTACTATTATAAGTATTGTCGCTTATCAATATTTTTACCAATCACTTAGCGAAATACATGTATGTATGTATGTTAACGCATGGGACCCAACCAGCACACATGTATGTATGTATGTATGTATATTTATGGATTTTTAGTTACTGTTGAGCCGAAAAAGTGACTCACTAGAATTTAGTGACTAGAAATCGCAACATATATTGAACACAATGTTATCTCAAAATTCGTGCTCTTTCTTTTCGCTTCTTTTCTCTCTCTTTTTGCAGAGCTTTTTCGAAATTTAATTTCACAACGCTCGGCTATAAAAGATGACAGACCAACAAACGGAAATTCAGTCAAGAACGACCAACACAAGTGGAAGCAGTACCATTCGCCATCTTACATTGGCTTTGTTCGCTGCATTCCGTAACTCAACAACATTTTCAAACGCAACAAAGTGTGTGCCTTAACTGTTTGCAATGGCGACTACTATTCAGATGACAAATGAACAGCTTCATGCGCTAATCGAGGCAGTTCGCTCATCCGCGGTCAGCGCAGCCGGCACTGCGGCTGCCGCTGCCGGCAGCGATGCCTCCAACTCAAAGTCAAAGGGCAGCTTCAGCGCGTGCACGCACCGATTTTTCGGTTCTCGCAGTCACGACGACGTCGAGGAGTTCATCACAAACATTGTCACTTACAAGGAGCTGGAAGAGATCAGCGATGAGAACGCCCTTAAGGGCGTATCCCTGCTCTTCTACGGCTTGGCATCCACCTGGTGGCAGGGTGTACGCAAGGAGGCGAAATGCTGGAACGACGTCATCGACCTCATCCGCGAACACTTCTCGCCCGCCAAGCCCGCCTACCAAGTGTACATGGAGGTCTTCGAGAAAAAGCAGGAGGACGGCGTTGCCATTGACACATTTGTGGTCGAGAAGCGCGCTCTGCTCGCCCAGCTGCCCGAGGGCCGTCACAACGAGGAGACAGAGCTGGATTTCCTGTACGGCCTGCTAAACATCAAATTCCGCAAGCACATTTCCCGCCAAAGCATCGTTACATTCCGCGATCTACTCGAACAGGGCCGCATCATCGAGCACAACAATCAGGAGGATGAGGCGACCGCAAAGGGTCCGCTACGCGGTGCTCGTCGTGGAGAACGTTGCACCTACTGCAACTTCCGCGGCCACACTTTCGATGTCTGTCGCAAGCGTCGTCAGGCGCGGGACGAGGCAACGGCGGCGGAGGAGTAAAAGGCGATATACACACACACATCTACGGGACGTGACATCATCGGCAACAACAACAACAACTATTAACATCGTGCGCTGGGCGCATATTCATAGCTGACGTCATGTTCTCACTAATACACCAACACTCACTTTGTCGCGCCGGCCACACATGGACATGAGCGAGAGGCGAAGGTGACAACAACGAAGAGAAGCAGCAGCAGCAGCATCAGCAAGCTTTAGCAGCTTTTTGGTTAAGTTCATTTCAAACTCTCATTCAGCGCCAAGTGGCGTGCCGGCAAGCAAAGCAGAGATCAAAAACACAACAACGACATTTCGATGTCGAATCTTCTTCACGCCGCCCCTGCGGCTATTTTTGGCTCTGAACGCCACTCTTTCATTACTCTATTGTGATATTTTCACAAAATTTGGAATATTAACGGCAAATTTTGTTTGCCAACACCGAGCGGCAGTTAATGGAGAGGAGGTTGGCGCACGCATTTCGCCCCCAGGTTAAGTCATTGCTTTGATGCAGCACAGCAGAGCAGCGGCGTTTGGTTGTGCAGAGCTTTTGATAAGCTTTGTGCGGCGAGCGTCGCTGCCTCTGCTGCGTGTGCGTCGGTGCAGCGCCTATAACTGTGATGGGTGTTGCGTGCGCCCTGTTCCTCCCCCTTGCCTTTTCGCTCAAACACCGCTGCCTTGGCCTAGTGCCGGCGCAGCGCTGCTGCAATGCGCACGAGGCGATCAGGCGTAGGGCGTAAAGCTCTGCTGGTTTCGGCCAGCAGCGCTGCGCGTCCGCTTGTCGCCAAGTTCGAATTGCAGCAGCTGCGGCGCTGGTCCTGGATCAATGCGGCAAAACAAAACACGCTCATGGGAAGCAGCGCAGTCGCTTTTGTGCGGCGCATGTGCTCGACGCAATTCCTCGCTGTGGCCAGTTGGCAGCACTTTGCGGCTCACTTCGGTGCGCTGCAGCGCTGCTGCCGACTGCGGATATGCCCGGCCAGGTGTTGTGCTTGCAGTGCTTGCGTCTGGCACGACAGCAGCTGCTGCGGCTTGGTCATGGGCAAAACCGAAGCTCCTTTTAAGGGGATTCGAAACCTACGTTGACATTTTTAATGTCCTTCAATCGAACACATTGCACTACGATGGCTAAGCTGTCGCCATTCGTGCAATTGGCACGCTAAATTGCCTCCAGTCGGTGGCAGCTCCTTGGAGCTTCTCTGTACTTGGCAAGCATTAGGCACGTCAGCGCTCACACACGTTCACACGTACACACACCGGGGCTTCGGATTCGTCGCTGCTCTGTTGCTCCAGCTTGCGGCGACTGTCTCGAAACCCCAAACCATGCAAGTCTAGCCTCTTGTGCAGAATCCTTAGGCGCGTAGTGCCATCCATACCTAACATCGGTGTCCATACCATGGTGACCGTCGTCGTCCAGCGTGCGCCAGCACCTTGGAGCATTGGCCAGACAAAGCGCTGCGACAACGACGGCCCGCGTTCCCCGATGAAGTGCGATGCCATCTCCTTGGCATTCGCATCCTCATCCAGCTGGGGGCCTATCGATGACCACAAGAGGCTACGATAAGCTAAATAAATCAACAATTGTAAAGACTGAAACCAGAAAACGCAGAAACTAAAATACAAAAACCCAAAAACCAATTTTCTATGTCGTTTTATATGTGGCTACGGGGAGGGAGAGAGGGCGGGATTTGGTTATTCAAATATTACTATAATTTATTTCAGGAACATCAGCTGCGGCAGGCGAGATAGCACAATCAAATACTGCTAAAAGATTTCTCAGTTTATATTATTATGGGGAAACCCGAATTAAAAAAGGCAAATCAAATAAACTTTCTGACAGAAAAAACAAATCTATTAAAGATTAAAGTAATTTATGCTCAGAACGAGAATTAACTCGTTCGCTTCAAATCTAGATATATAACTCTTATAGTGGAATAGTTTTTGTATAGAAACATTGGATCACAATTCTGACAGGGTATCTAATCTTCGAGAGGAAAATGCTTTGTTGTTTTATTCCAGAAATCAAAAACATTTTGTTTTCTTAATTCTCAATTTTGAATTCTTTGAGCTCAGTTCTGTTTGTTCCTGCATAAACCTTCTAAGGCATATATCTAAGATTTTACTGTATTTATATTTTTAAAATTAAAAGAATATTCCTAAATAAAGCTACATTTCAGTGCCTCATGCGCTCCACGTTGCGGCCACGCTCGAGCAGCTCTCGGAAGTTTTTGATCTCATGTCGTGGTATGTGTTCTCTGTACTTTTGCAGCATTAGGCCGTAGACGAAGTCCAGCTCGGTCTCCTCGTCGTGCCGCCCGTCCGGCAGCTTGGCCAGCAGAGCGCGTTGCTTGCAAATAAAGGCATCGATCACTTCTCCCGTCGTCTGCTTCGTTTCGAAGATCTCCATGTAGATTTGATAGGCGGGCTTGGTGGGCGAGAAGTGATCACGCAGCAGCTGCAGTGCATCTTGCCAGGTCTTGACATTGCGCCGCACGCCCTTCCACCAGACAACGGCAATACCGTGGAACAGCAGCGTGATGCCTTTCAGCGCGTCCTTGTCGCTGATGCCCTCCACCTCCTTGTACGTTTCCACTGCCGTTATGAACACCTCGACGGCGTCGTGGTCCCGCTGCCCGCTAAATTGGGCCATACAATTGCTAAAGCTGCCCTTTGAGTGCTGCTCTTTTTCATCATTCTGGGGTGCCAAAGATTTGATGGTTTCGATGAGTATGCGAAACTGTTCGTCCGACAACTGCGTCATTTCGCCAGAGCAAGGCTTTGATTCCGACGAGAATAAATAAACAAAACGCAGCTGCTTCGCTGCTGCCAACAAATAAACTAGACAGAATTATGGCCGCCGTCTTGAGCTTTTTTCGTTGTGAAATAAAAACAGTTGGCTCTCTGAGTACACAGAGTGGCAAAAGCTTTCGAGTTCGAAAAACCGGCAATTTTTGCTTTCGATATTGTGATTAATACTTTTAAATGCATGCATATGTATTTACGTGTATGAGCATATCAATGTGTGTGTATATGGATGTATGTATGTATGTAAGTTGCCATGGGTGTTTTGTGTTATACATTTTCTCAGAAAAGTGTCATTAGTTAAATGACATACATATATTGATAAACAAATACATACATATGTTTACGTAAGTACATAAATAAGCAGTTAAGTGTGAACTTTATTTCTTATCATGTTTCCTGCACTTATAATCAGGAAAACAATTTTAACGAATATTGAGCAAAGAAACATTTTGTATGTGTAAAAGGATATGAGGTCAGCGGAGGATCAAAACTTGTACAATTTTAGTTGCGAGCCGCAGGAAAATAGATCGAACTATAAAATTGATTGATTGAAAATATATATACATATATAATTTGATATATTTTGACGTATTCGGGAAATTGTTGATTGACAATCGAATCGATTGTCCTGCTCAGTGCGCTAGGATCGCAAGGAGAATCATAAGCTTTAAGGTAATATTAAGTATTACGAGCTGTTACAAAAGCAGAATTATTCCCAGAACAAAAATACAACTAAATAATTATTGGAGTGCAGTTATTGCCAGTGCTCTTAAGTTGCCAACAGAATTGATAAGCCCAGAATGTTGCCAGCTTAAATACATACATATGCATGTGTATGTATGAATGTGTCTACGCTCACCTATAGCTAATTGTTTATACATATTAAATTGTAGCTCTCTTCGTATAATAAAATTAAACCTATTGCTCTTTCATAAGGCAAAACTTTTAAAGAGCGCAACTGTCATTTCGAAGTCTAATTTCACAAGTCTGCGATATAAAACCGGTGGAAATTCAAAATCGTACCAAGTTTTTAGGCGACATCAACAGGTCAAGAGGTCCACTGCTATTGACTATTTTGTCCTTTTGGCTCCAAACAGCAACAATATGGCCCAAACCATACAAATGACCAACGAGCAGCTGCGCGAGCTCATCGAGACTGTGCGTTCCTCTGCTGTAACTGCAGCTGGGAGTGCTGTTGGGGTCGCCTCCAGCTCGAAGTCAAAGAGCAGCTTCAGCGCCTGCACGCACTGGTTTAGCGGTGCACGTAGTCACGACGAGGTTGAGCAGTTCATCACAAACATTGTCACTTACAAGGAGCTGGAAGAGATTAGCGATGAGAACGCCCTAAAGGGCGTACCCCTGCTCTTCTACGGCTTGGCATCCACCTGGTGGCAGGGTGTACGCAAGGAGGCGAAATGCTGGAACGACGTCATCGACCTCATCCGCGAACACTTCTCGCCCGCCAAGCCCGCCTACCAAGTGTACATGGAGTTCTTCGAGAAGAAGCAGGAGGACGGCGTTGCCATTGACACATTTGTGGTCGAGAAGCGCGCTCTGCTCGCCCAACTGCCCGAGGGCCGTCACAACGAGGAGACAGAGCTGGATTTCCTGTACGGGCTTCTGAACATCAAGTACCGCAAGCACATTGCACGGCAAAGTGTACCAACATTCCGCGATCTGCTTGAACAAGGCCGCGTCATCGAACACAATAATCAGGAGGAAAACCAACAGAAAACCTCACGAAAACGTCCACTTCCAGGTGTGTAACTGGGTATAAAATTATTACTTTGTTTTTCTTTTAATAAACAAGTTCCCCATAGAATGCTGGGATACCGTTAAAAATGTTGGCAGAGGTCGTGGTGGAGCTAGGGGCAGAGGCCGGGGCCGGGGTAGGAACACTGCTGTACAAGAATCTGAGAACAATAACAGCGGCATGGCCGGAGAAATCTGAAACAATAAATAATTTAATTTGTAAACTACTAAATTAAGAGAAACAAAAGGATTACCCCGATTCGGTAGATACATATACCTGAAAATCAATTTTATTTATTATGTATTTATTTAATAAAATATTTAGTTGCAGCATCGAAATATACAGATTTTATTATTTGATGCTGTCCGTTCAACAAGTTTAATCTAACTTCAAGCGTTGCCATCTGGTTCAATAAAGCTGCAAACAAGTACTTTAATCGCCATATTTTTCTTGCTAGCCAGGGCGTCAGCAATGGTATTGGTATCGTCTGGGACTGCGCAGTGCGCAGGGTTGCTGTGCTCCAAAAGTATTGGTATCGGACGGTCGTATTTTTGTTATGCTGTTGTTGTTGTTGTTTAGCAAAAATGGATCAACAACTGCACCGTCTGACGGATCGTCATTACTCGGAAGTAGAGGGCTTGCTACAGGTATAAAAACATCTCCTACAGATTGCATGCATGGCAAATTTAAATGTTTCAATTATTACAACGCCCAACTTTTTGCCCGTTTTCGTCTGCCCACTCACGCGAACGCACCCACTCTCAAAACACCAACACACATATATATGCACATACACATAAAAACACACACACAAACATACACACAAACGCTTCTCGCCGCAGGCTATGGACATGCCGAGCTCAGACCACGAAGAAATCGAGTCGGAATCGTGCCGACTTAGCCGGTACAATGTGGCCAACCTGTATGAGGGACGTCAGCGTTGCTACACAATGCCGCACGTTCCCCCCGCGCCGCCCTCCACACCGACGCTGTTAACGTCCAGCAGCAACGGCAACGGCAGCAGCACTGGGATCGGCAATTGCACCGCCAACGGGACTGGGAATGGTAGCTCCAGTTCACCCACCGCCAGCCTGGTGGCCGATAATCAAATCAATCATTTTATCTACGTAAAAAACGGTAAGAACCTGCGTCGTGAATCACGTTGCGTTGACTCGGAGCTGTCCAAACTGTTCAACGTGGTCTCAATCACAAATCGGCTAACGGCCGTCAAGAACCGGACGCACAAACAGCAGCTGGCCGAGCGCGGCATCATAAATGCATCGCGCACAATTTCCAAGCTGCACGGTGCGACGAAAATCTTTAAGATTCATCGCGATCCCAAGGAATTCCTGCGCGAAACGGACGAGGATTCGGTCTCGGCGCCCGAATACGATGAAGAGGAGGAGGACACACGTTTCCGTTTCTTTCGACGGACACGGCACTCACGCCGACACTCGTATACGCGCATGGAGCGTAAATTTGCACGATTCGAGCATCACGAGCGCATGGAGACGATCGTCGATAGCTTCGATGCGGCCATGAGTTTTAACGATGCGGATACCTGAGCGGATGCAACAGCTGCCGCAACAGCAACTACATCAGCAGCAGCAGCAGCAGCAGCAGCAGCAGCGGCAGCAACAACAACAACAACTGTAGCGGCAGCATCCGGATCCGCAGCCGCATTCGCGGGCAACCAACACCACAGGCACGGGCAAGTGGTTCGCCGCCAAGTGCAAACCAATGTGATGAATGTGAATTTCAACTAAATTATTTTTATTACTACTACTATTATTACGATTATGATTACCGATTATCGATTATCGAACTGTTCTCTCCATACATTTAGTTCTTTTGCGCCGATTGCCGTCGCGTCTTGCGGCCAACGCATGTGTCCGATCCCCAGATCCATGTGGGTTAGCCCAAGCGCAGCGCAGGGCGAGCATTTAGTTTTTAGCTTAGTTCTTACGCCTGTGCGGCTCCCCCGTGCACCGTGCTCACCAGCAACAACGACAACAATAATAATAGTAATCAGAACAAAACCAACCAGCACAATGTCTAGTATTTGAATTTGTTGTTGCCCGAGCGCGGCCATTTGGGAGCCAAGCGAACGATTCCAATAAATGCACAAAATAATGTGTTGTATTTGTGAAGATGAAAACGCAATTTTCTTATCGCGCCGCCATTAAACATATCCGATCGGATCTATTTAAGAAATTGTTTATATGACAGCGTTACGATGTTGTGATTTCGATTCTTGTATAAGAAAAGCAAAACTACAAACAAAAAACGAACCGTCTTCAAATTCAATTTGTACAAACAAGTTATTTCGAACGACTATATAATAGTGCAATCCTGATTAAAGTTTACCGAATTGATTTAAAAGTCACAATTAAACAATTTCCTAGATATCCAACAAAAAGCATACTTTTTTTAAAAGAAAAATTACCATTACATTACAGGCTTATAGATTCGTTAGTTTTTAGAGATGTCTTGCAACGAAAAAGGATCATTCCGAACATGGAAACTTTCGTAATATCTGTTTAATCAGGCGCTAAAGAGGCACACGAACATGGATAATACGACAGAAGAGGAGCTAAGGCTATAATAGAACGAGTTCCGTGAACCGATTTAAGCTTTCAAAGCTAAACAATAACAATGTTAATAATAATAACATAATTCTAATACCTAATTCGAGTAATGTCAAGAGGTGTGTATCTAATTAGATGCGCTCCTTGAAGAAATTGGCCATCAGATTCTCTTCGAGTTGCGCGGGATCAGTCACCGGCATCCGGCAGACACGATCATGGCAAATATATACGGTTGTCTTTCCATTGACCATTTTGAATTTCTGCTGGAGTCGCTGGTTGCACGCCTCGTCCGGATGCTGCGGATCGCAGTGGACAATTATCATGCCCGGTACATAGAATTTGCGCACAATCTCCACAAAGCGTTTGGTGTCCGGTGAGTCTGGACCCACGACAGCCACCAGGTCCAGGCCGTTTTCGTGCAGCAGCAGCGCCGACAACATCTCGGGCAATGCATGACCAAAGGGTGCAACATCGGCAAAGTAATTCAGCAGCTTGGCGGCACGCTTCAAATATGTGCCCTCATCGAAATAGTGCGACAGCAGGGTGAGATTGCGTGCGGCGACGCTGTTGCCACATGGCTCTGCGCCATCATGATCTGGAGTGAGAAGTTATGGCTATGAATTAGGTGGAATCAATATGACCCAACACGAACCTTCCTTGAGTCTAACAATGACATTGGGCGCATTCTGCTGTGAGAAGAAATAGGCGCCATTCTTTTCATCCCAGAAGAGTTTGTCCTGTGTCACCTGCAGTTCCTTGGCCCAGTGCAGAGCGCTCATATCCAACGATGCCTTGTAATAGTCCAGCAATCCCTTGACAAGGAAAGCATAATCATCCAGGAAGCCCTCGATGCGTGTACTGCATTAATAGTTTTGTAGGTCTTTAGTGATCCTATAATATAAATCCCAACTTACGGATTCTGCTCCAGCGTATTATTTTGCACTCCAGCGCCATAACAGGAGCGCAACAGCAACTTTTGCTCCCCATCGTACAGATGTGTGCGCAAAAAGTCCATGAGTTGCTTGGCTGTGGCCAAATACGCATCCCGCTTCTCTGTCCCACAGTTGGCAAGCTTGGCGAGACCGGATAGCACCAGGCCATTCCAGCCACATATGATCTTCGTGTCTAAATGAGGCCGCGGACGCTGATCTCTGACTTTGTGCAGAATATCATTGGCCGTCTCCAGCAATTGGCAGAGTTGTGCCATCTCCAAGTTGAAATTCGAACACGTGTCCTCCTCAGAGCCGCGCACTATCAGAATATTCTTGCCCGTCAGATGGCCGTGCGGATCACTGGCGGGCGGCACATTGCCAGCCGGCTTCATGCCATAGTGAAAACAATAGATTTCAAAGACACGCGCCGCACTGACATCATTAAAGCGCGCTTGCTGCGCTTCGAAGGCCTTCTTCACTTCATCCCAGGTCCAGGCATAAAACGCACCCTCCACCTTCACGGTGTCCGCATGCGTAGGCAAGGAGTCGGCATCCTCTCCAGCGTAAAAGCCGCCTGCCGGATGACGCAGGTCTTTAATCAAGTACTCATAAATTCGATCCGCATAGCCCAGGAATTCCTTGCTGCGTGTTAGCTTGTAGGCATTGGCATATGCCGCCATCAGCTGACCCTGATCGTACAACATTTTCTCGAAGTGAACGTTATGCCAGTCTCGCGTGGTCGCATAACGCGCAAATCCACCAAAAATGTGGTCATTGATGCCACCGCGTCCAATATGATCCAAAGTTTGCAGCACCATGTCCAGCACGTCCACATCCTTGCTAACCAAATAGGCGTGAAACAGAAAATTGAGACGCGGCACTTCCGGAAACTTGGGCTCTCGGCCAAAGCCGGCGTGCTCCTGATCGAAACGCTGCTTGTGCACCGCCAGTGCCTCTGCAAGCTTTGCATCAGCGCTGCCAGGCTCGAAGGCGGCTTCGCCGTCGGTTCCAGCATTCTGATTGGCTCGCATGGCCTCCATCAGCGTGCTTCCCGCTTTCTTGAGTGATGTGCGATCCGTTTGCCACTTCTTGGCTATGGACTCCAGCACCATGGTGAACGAGGGCATGCCATAACTGCGCCAGCAAGCGGAGAAGCCATTAGAAACTATATGAATATGGAATGTTTTATGTCTTACCGCGCCTTGGGCGGAAAATAAGTGCCAGCTGCGAGTGGTGCTAGGTCGGGCGTCAGCCACACGCTCATGGGCCAGCCGCCGCTGCCCTTGGACATGAGCAGAAACTGCATATAGACCTTGTCAATATCGGGCCGCTCCTCTCGGTCCACCTTGATGTTGACAAAATGTTTGTTCATCACGGCGGCCGTGTCGGCATCCTCGAACGATTCGTGCTCCATGACATGGCACCAATGGCAAGTCGAGTAGCCTACAGACAGGAAAATCAACTTGTTCTCGTTACGCGCACGCTCAAAGGCCTCCTCACACCAGGGATACCTGTCAAGAAGCTCTTGAGTTGGCAGGGAATTACTTAATGCTCTTTTGGTATACTCACCAGTCGACGGGATTGTGCGCATGCTGCAGCAAATATGGCGACTTGGAGGCTGCCAATCGGTTAATGTGCTTTGGCGACTGCGCCTTTGTCTCGCCACCCGTAGCCATGCCACGAAACAGGTGCTGCTGCGTCTGTGCTGTTGATGCTCTGCTACGGTTTGGTAATTGTCTTTGGCATCAAATTGGAGTTAACAATTGTGACTAATGCCAAATATGATTAGAACTTACTCGTCTATCGGCCAACTACGCTGTAATTGTGTTTGAGGCGCTGTAAATGCGAACGCGCTTCTTATCCAGGTTTGGCAGAGTGTTTTGCCTCTAAACATAGCAATTTAATTGATAATGCTCAATGGAAAGGGCATTCCATCAGCTGACTGAATTGATAAACAATGTAAGTTATCGATTACACACGATTACTAAATAATAAAAACTAAAGTGGTATAAATGCTTGCCTCATTTATGATTGCTTCATATTTAAAGACGCCACATTGGCTAACACTAATTATAATTTCTCATAAATATTAGCAAATGCGTAATTTCCAATTAGATTATCGATGGCCAATCTATCTTATCGATACTACTCGATACTTTTTGACGATAGTTATGTTTAACAGTCATACGATGCTTGTAAACAATAACAGGTGTTGAACAGTAGTGGCAACGCCAAGGTATTGCCAGATAGCATTGTACGACTGGGCGCGCGCCATCTTTTCAAATCCATTTTGAGAACTTATATTGCTTTAAAATATTTATTAATGCATACACTTTATCTTTGCTTTTGATAATTATGTAAAAAATTGCTTACACATATGCGGTTGATATATAGTTTAACCTACAAGCTAATTGAAAATCACAAATGAACATAAAATATTTATACATTATAGTGTGTGTGTGGTTGAATTTTAAGCACATGTTTAAGTTAATACACACAATACCCCGACCGGCGACTACAGAGGCAGCGCTCAATTCTCGCAAACCACTCTCAACTTTGAGTTGACAGCACGGAAAATTGAGTGAGAGCTAAACGCTTTAGCAATCGCTTTGGACTAGCGCATCGCTGAGCGCGCCCAGCTGCTCCTCGCTGGCCTTAATCCTGTCGGACAGATCGCGTGCGTCGGCAATGAGTTTGGCCTTCATATTGATAAAATAATCATAGTCGGCGCACAGGTCGGCGCTGAGATGTTTGCCAAAGAGTTTGGCAATGCTGCTGCCACGCCTGTCAAAGTCCGCTTTAAGGCGCTGCGCCTCCTCCAGCTGCTCATAGAGGTGTGCGCGCTTGGCTTCCAGCGTGCTCTGTGCAAATGGAAAAAACAAGTTAGTCAAAAGAGTTTTGGTTAAATTGTAGTGCAGTTTTGTACCTTCTCCTGCTGGCTGCTGGGCACACGCACCTCCAGACTGCATTCGGTTTGGGCCAGGCGCTCCGACAGCGATAGCAACAGGCTGGTTATGTTACCCACATCATCGATGTAGGTGCGGAACTTGGACGCTTCGCTAGGACGCACCTTCTCCGTTAATTTGGCCAGCAAATCCAGGCCCAGTTGATCATTGATGGCGCACTCATCGACAATGGTTTGCTGCTCGCGCTTTAGTGCGCCGATTTTTTGGTTCAACTGCTTGATCAGCTCATCCTGCAAAGGGATTGGCATTAGGTTTGACTGTTGAGCCGCCTGGATTGAGCGCAAGGGCTTTACTTACCAGCTTTTGTTTGATTAAATTCGTGGACTCCGCATCGCCTGAGTCGTCCGCCAGCTGCAGTTCCACGCTGACCAGCTGGAGTTCCGTTGTCGCCAGCAGCGTCGTTGTGCCGCTGGCTCCTTTCATGCGCATCAGCGTCGTGGTGCCGACATCTCGCTTGGCCGGGCGCAGCTGGACATTTGGATTGTACAAATTGTTGACGTACTGCGTCGTCGGCTTGTAGCTTTTTGGTGTCAATATTTCGATGAGCTTGTCGTTGGGCGCCAGCTGCTTGATCAGCTCCAGGGCCAGATTCTCGTATTCCAGTTCAATGGCCTGACGCTGGCGTGGTTGCAGCGTCGTGCGCGTCTGCTGCTCCTCACGCGTC